GTTTTGTCAACCATTTGACAAAGTTTATATCTCTATCTATCTATCTATCTATCTATCTATCTATCTATCTATCTAATCTATATTCTGTTTGAGTTTCTCCTTTTTCTTTTACAAATTTACCATATTTTCTTTTTTGTATACATTGTAAAAGTAATAGATGCTAAATGCAAATTTTTATTTGTTGCAGACAGTGTCTCACTACATAGGTCTAGATGGCCTCGAACTCAGAAATATACCTGAATTTGATAGGGTTAAAGGCATGTAACACCATATCCTGCCTTAAACATAAACAAACAAAGCTGTTGGTATAATATTCTTGTGGAATGTATACAATTTACCCTTGTTCATTCAAATGCCTATTTCTTTACCCCACTATCTGGTTTCAATCTGGACATTGCATTGTGATACTTATTCTAAGCATCTAAGCATTATAAGTTTTTGTAAACATGCCACCATTTGTTCTCTGTGTTGTCAATAAAACAATCAGCCAGTGCTGTGCAATGGAGAAAATAGGGTGGGACATCCTGGGGGGTAGGAGGTGGAGCCAGGGGGAAAGAGGAGAGCAGAGATCAGGAGGCCAAGACTTGGAACCATGAGGAGGGTCTTGAAACTAGGAGGAAATATGAACCGGACCTAAGATATGACTAAAAGCAAATATAATGGGTAAAATCTGAATGGTAAGACACTATGCGGGCTTGGAGGTTTAGGATGGAGTAACTATTGCCCAGCATTGTGCTCTAGGTTAATTGAATAAATCCTAGTCTCTGTGTGGTGATACAGTTGGTTTAGGAATAACCACTGCTTAACTAAAAGATAAATCAATAGTAAATATTAATAACCAACAACACAAAGCAGACGTATCTATTTTGAGACAGGCTTATGTAGCTCATGTCAGTCTTATTCACTGTACAGCCAAGCACAACCTTGAAATATTGAGGCCCCTGCCTCTGTCAACAATACCCAACAAAATAATTTTTCACTTTTTAAAAATATATTCTATTTTTTTCAATTTAAAATATTTTTATTTTTTGTTTGTTTTTCAAGACAGGATTTCTCTGTGTAGCCTTGGTTGTCCTGGACTTACTTTGTAGACCAGGCTTGCTTTGAACTCACAGAGATCTGCCTGCCTCTGCCTCCCAGAGTGCTGGGATTAAGGGCATGGGTCACCACGTCCAGCATTTTTTTTTTTGGTACAAAATAATTTTTAAAATAATGAATATTGAAAATGTCTCTCGCTTAGTATATATTTATTTAGAATTTAGCATATATTCCTCTCTATATATGTGATGGCTATCCGTGGTTGTCAATGTAACTATATCTGGAATGAACTATAATCCAGAAATGGAGGGCACACCTGTGAGAAATGTTCTGCTTGGTTTGAATCGGCTGAATCCACTTCTAGTCTAGATCTTTGATTTGTGGTAAGACACACCTCTGATCCAGATCTTGAGGCTGGACGACACAGGCTTCTGAGCTTGAGGAGGGATGAGAAACCTTTAATCAGGGCCACACCTGCTAGAAGACACTATAAGGACATGGAAGAAGAAAGTGTCTTAAGGTTTCCATGGCTGTGAAGAGACACCACGACTAAGGCAGCTCTTATAAAGGAAACATTTAACCGGGGCTGGCTTACAGTTTTAGAGGACTAGTCCATTATCATCATGGTGGGAAGCAAGGCAGCATCCAGGCAGACACGGTGCTGGAGAAGGAGCTGAGAGTTCTACGTCTCCATCTGCAGGCAGCAGCAGGAGACTGTGTGCTACACCTGGGTGTAGCTTGAGCATAAGAGACCTCGAAACCCACCCACTGTGACACACTTCCTTCAACATGGCCACACTTCCTAAGAGTGACTCCCTGTGGGCAAGCATCCAAGCATGAGTCTATGGGGCCATTCCTGTTCAAACCACCACAAAGGTGTGTTCTTTTTCCTGCTCGCTCTCACTTTGCCAGAACGTCCATTTCTTCACTGGGATTAGAGCCTACTTTTTTGGGACTCCAACAAATACAGAAGGCCAGCTGAGGCACCTAGCCTTGTGGGACTGAGCGACTACTAGACTCTTGGACTTTCCATTCACAGCTAGCCATAGTTAGATTAGTTGGACTGCAGCCAGAGAGAGGGAGAGAAAGACTCATTCTGTAAGTCCTACCTACATTCTACCAGATTATTTCTTTTCAAAACAACAGTATAGCTTTCAACTTGAATCTTAAGTAACCGTCTTGTGTACCTCTTATTCATGGAACTGTGCCTTGTTTCTTTATTTAAATGTTGTGATTACAAATGTGTATGAGAGTTCCATCAGGCATATGCCATGGTACAAGTGTGGAGGGCAGGGTAGAGGAAGACTTTTTTTTATTTTTTTTTTATATTTTTATTTATTGTTCTTGTTGCTATTTTGAGACAGGATTGGCTGTCCTGGACTCACTTTTGTAGATCAGGCTGGCTTCGAACTCACAGAGATCCACATGCCTCTGCCTCCCAGAGTGCTAGAATTATCAGTGTGTGCCACTGCACATTGTAATGGGGTTTCTTTGTATGTTATGCAAAGATGCTTTTGTTTTAATGCCAAGTGCGGGATTTTAGTTGGGCTACAGTTTGTCCACACCTGTTCACTGTCACATGGGAGGTGTGGTCTTTGCCAGCTGGCCTTCCATGTTCAGCAGGTGGAGGGGCATGGTCTAGGACTCAGAGGCCAAGAAAGAGACTGTGTGGTTTTGGGTGGAGTTTGTGATGGCATTTGGTGTTGGCATGTGGTGTGTAGCGGTTTGGAGAGAACAGAGATGGTGTGGTGGTATGGCAGTTTGGAGCAGATAGAAATGATTTGGTGCGCAGAGGAGGAGCCTGCTAGCTGTGTCTGCAGTTGACGGAGATTGGTACAGAGCCCTAAAAGAACTCCTTGACCCTAACTTAGCCAGGAGAAGTAAAGGGGTCTGGGCCCCTCTACCTACTAACCTGTTCTCTCTCCTCCTTAAGGTTGGGGGTGTTGGTGGAAGGGAGGTAGAGGCCTAAACACCTGAAATAGAGTTAACAAAAAGCAGCTACAGGTGGCTCTCTGCAACAGCACCTGGCTAGAGAATGGGTTCTCTCCATCTGCTGTGGTCTCCAGGGACTGGAGCCAGGCAGCAACCCTGATGGTAAGCACCCTTACTTGCTGAGCCACCTCACTGGTCCTTTATGTTCTTTTTAATGGTTGTATGCTATTAGATAATATATTGTGTTTTTGGGTTTTTTTTCTTTTTTTTTTCTTTTTTTTTTTTTTTTACCTCATTTTGGTGTGCTTGCTATTGTTCAGGAGATTAATCCTGGACTCTGAAATCACTGGGAAAGCTCTCTACCACTGAGCCACACGGTAGCCTCATTTGGTTTTTGTTTTTGTTGTTTGTTTGTTTTGTTTTGTTTTGTTTGGAGACAAGGTCTCACAGTGTAGTGTTGGTTGAACTCACTGTATAGACCAGGCTGCCCTCTGCTTCCAAAGTCTGGGATTAAGGTGTATGCCACTATGCCTGGTCACCAGCATATTCATAATGACCTGCAATTTTCTGCGGGTCTGGGACAAAGTTTTCATTTGCACTGACATTTTTGATGCTGTAGAAAAGAATGACTGTTACAGGATATTTGCTTATTGTACATAGGAAACCTAATTGTTAGCAAAACATGAACACCTAGATAGATACTGGGTTTGTCAGATGCAGTTAGGTGTGTATGGAAAGCCTCCACATATAAGAATGCTGAAGAATGTAAAGTTCCTGCATATTTTAAGGCAAGTTGCTTGGGAGAGGTCTTGTGGTCCTTGCTTTATGACAGAGGCAAAGTCAGCTGGATGGCCTTAAGCTACCCCACCATAGAGGTGAAATGGTTTAGCTCCTATTGACTTGGCTTGGAGTACCCCCACCATGACAGTGGCATGGTTCAGCCTACCAAGGGTGTACAGAAGGAGCTAGAGACTTACAGCAATTAGACATTTGAGGCTCTCTCTCCTTCGCCCTTCTTCCCTCCCCCCACCCCCTCCTCCTCCTTCTTCTTCTTCTCTCTCTCTCTCTCTCTCTCTCTCTCAGCTTAAGAGAAAGGTGGACTAACTAGTTAGAATGACACAGATTTTTCTAAAGAGCTAGTACTTGTAGAATCAGCTTGCAAATAGATATTTTGTATACAGTTCAGAAAATCGAGCTACCTCGCTGAGCTAGCAGGTTCTTACTCCATTTTACGCTCCCTTTTACATATTAGGTAATTTAACTGGTTACACATGTTCATGAACTTGACTTTGGTCTCTTGAGCTGCCTTTGTTTTTCCACCCGGTGGAAAGCCTGTTCTTTAAAGGATAAGGCGCCTGATTCCATTATACAGTGTTCTCGTGAGAACTAAATTAGAAATTACAGGGATTGTTCTTTGAAATGGTATAGCCGAGGCCACACGCAAGGGGGGAGGGGGGGGTTGTTAAAGGGAGGCTTTTTAGTGACTCGGAAACGCACTTTTCCCAAATTTGTTCTCTTAAAGGCCCAGAACTTCCTAAGCGGGAATTAGACATGTTCCTCCAGCGTACCCTGCATTTACCCAATTTCCTCGAGCTTCAGGTGTGGACAGGAACCATTTTTCCTCCTCTATAAGCGGACAGTCTCAGCATAGGAGGTGGAAATCAGGATAGCCAGTGCAGCTGCAGCTGCTACTGGTGGATACTTAAAACCCAGTTACAAGTTCTTGCGTCCCAGGGGGACCTCAGTCATGCCTTTTCCTACGGTTGGGTCAGTGGTGTAGGTCCTGCAGATCGCTGGGCCCACGGGGCCGGAATGCCGGCAAAGCAGCGTGAAGGGTTGGGCTTTGTTTTTGTGGTTCCTAAAAAACGCCAGGAACAACAAAAAGTGCAATCCAAACCCACCTTGCCGCTCGGCGTACCACCCGGCCCGCCCAGCCGGGGGCGGGGGGGGGGGGGGGGCGCCCCCGGCCCCGCCGGGGGGGGGGGGGGGGGGGGGGGGAGCGCGCAGGCGCGGGCGGCAGAGGGCGTGGCGGCCGTGTCCATTTTGCGCGGGCGCCGCCGGGGCCGCAGTCCGCGGAGGTGAGCGGCGTCCTGGGCTAGGGGTGAAGGGTCGCCGGGCCGCGCGCCTGCCGCCGTTGGCACCAGCGTGGGTTGACAGGCAGCTGGGCGTGGTGGACGCCGCTGGGGAGGCATCCTGGCCAGGAAGCCTAGGCACCGTCAGCTGGCTTTGTGTGTGTGGGGGGGGGGGGGGGGAGTATTAAAAAAAATGTAGGGCCAAGAATGGAGATCTGTGTGTGTAACACCCTTTCTCCTTTCTCTACAGCATTCTCTAGCTTTACAATCAAAACGTGGGGAAAAAACAAAAATCGTTTTGTTTTGTTTTGTTTTCCTAGAGAGACAGTAACCTTGTCGAAAGCACCTGCTTGGCCGGGACAGAGGTAAACAGTATTTTCCTTTATGTTCTAGTATTTATGAGGAGAAAGAATACCCGATTTTATTAGTCTCAGCACTATTCCAGATCGCTACGAAGAATATGTCCTTACCCACCTCCTTCAATAATAGGTGGTCTTTGTCCTTTTTGTATTTCAAAACTGAGACAGAATCCCTGCTTGCCATTCATTTCATTGGTAATTAGTATGTATAATTTAATAAAGTGTGCTGCGAAGGAAGAAAAGGGACTCAGCAGCATTTCTTTTGTGTGGTTTGTCTTAGTCGTCCAGCTACTGGGGCTGTAGACGAGGGCTTAGGTTTCCTGCAGCGCTCATGTTGCGCACTTTAAAAGCAGAATACCATGCTGTTACAGGTATTCTTTCTGCTAGGACTCAATGGACATATTAACCAATCATGCCTCTTTCATACAGTTTTTTTTTGCTTTAAAATTATTTGGTGCTGGAGAAAGAGCCAGGACACCTTGGGGTATGCTAGCATAGCCTGTGTACTATGCCCGAACTATACCCCTGCCCTGCCTAATGCTAAGCATCGGTTTGACACAGCCTGGGATCACCTGAAAACAATCTGAGTTGATTGTCTTTCCGGATCGTCTGTGTGTGTCTTAATTCACACAGGAGGGCCCAGCACATTGTGGGCAGCTCTGTCCGTAGGCTGATGAACCTGGCTACATAAGCCAGCTAAACGTAGGCCTGTATGGGCCAGAGACACCAACAATCCACAGTCTTGATGGTACCTGCCTTACTTTATGGCTGTGAGTGAGTTCCATGGTGGAAGACAGTGTTGTGTGAAAATAGCAGGCAGTTTTGTCCTGAGTTCCTGCCCTGACTCACCTCCGTGATGGGTTGTAACCTGCAGGTGTCAGCTGATTTTTGTGACTACTCCTTAGGTAAACCAGGGTGGCCTGAACCAACATGTCCGCCTGCCTCTGCAGTCACTTCTGGGATTGGATTAAAGGTGTGTGCCTCTGTGCCTGGGTTAGAGTACTAAATTCTTGATTTACTTTCTGGATAGTACTGAGTCCTAGAACTTAGAAAATTCAAGGTCTGTGCTTTGGTGGTGAAAGGGCAAGGTGAGCTGGTTTTACTTATGAAGCTAGGGGGGTAGCTACATTGGTTTTAAGCCCAGAATTTACATTTCATTCCTACCCCCTTGTTTTAAAGATATAGACTTCATAGATGTATACAGATGGTAACTGATTTAAATTGTTTTACATTTTAAATCCAGGTAAGTACAGCAATAAATTTGACTTGTTGATGGTTTGCTAAACAAAGTATGCTTTTGTTTTAGGGTGAGGAACTGAATGGAGAGGTAGGGTATTTATACTGATTAGATTTCATGATCTGTTTGCATAAACTTTGTGTGTGTGTGTGTGTGTGTGTGTGTGTGTGTGAGTAGTGTACACACATACACTGTTTTTCTTTTTAAGACAAGGTAGAGGTATACCAGGCTCAGCTATCAGTTTGCCTCCCAAGTGCTGGGATTAAAGACATGTGCCACCATGTCCAGATATACACACACTTTAGAAAGACAATTGACAATCTTTTACAGAGTTTTAAAATGGCTCAGCAGGTAAAGATACATTCTACCACTGTTGATAGGACCTGAGTTACAGTGACAGGACCAACATGGTAGAAGAAGAGAACCAACTCTCATAAATTGCCTACTTACCTTGAAATTGCCCTTCTTACCTGGGCACATGTGCAACAAATAAATAGAATTTTTTTTTATGAAGGATAGACTTATTCCTTCATCCAGTATTGCCTTTAAGAAATTTATCTAAGGAAATGGTCAGAGATTAAGAGGTTTTTATTAAAGCTTTTCTATAAGGCTTTTTTATTTTACGTAAACAGTACCATTCTAAAAACAAATAAAACTATCAATAAATAATAAGAAAGCACATCCCTAAGATGGGCTGTCATGTGTTTGAAGAATAGGTACTGATAGGAAAAATGTATGTTTGTAAGTAAAGATAGTTAAAAAAATTGCATCATACTTCAATATTAAATAACAGGAAACAGAAGTTACACCAGGTGGTCAGGATGAAAAGGAGAATAGGGTACTTGAGAAAGAGAAAAACTTAGGGGAAAAATGGAGAATTATACAGTAACAGAGGACCAAGAATTTTAAGGCTCTCAAATAAGATGAAAAGGAAAATAATGTTAAAACTTACAATAGCCATTCAAAGTCATAATCATACTGTAAAGGCTACTCATACATTCATTTTTTGTTTTCGTAAGACCAGGTCTCAATATGTAGCTCAGGCTATCCTAAAACTCCTGTTCCTCTTGCCTTAGCTTCCCAGGTGCTGGGATGCAGGGTTACACCTCCATGCCTAGCTATACATTCAGTCTTATGTAGAAATTAATCTTCCCCGCAAAACAAACAATAGATCTAAAAGAATGCAGAGTAAAACCATCTACTTGGAACAAACAGAAAAGCCATTATATTATGCTTTGTGTCTTAGGATTTGTTTTCAGTGCTGCACATTGAACTGAAAGCTTCAAGCATGCTAAGTAAGTGCTCTACCACTAAGCTAGAGTCTAGACCGCCTGCATCCTGGGAATTTTCATCTTAAGATATCTTTGTTTGGGATTTAGGAATTCAAAACAGTGTTTAAATTTATCAGTCAGGAGAGGATCTTGGAAAATAAGTCAGTTAAGTACTTAAGAATAAAGGACTTGTAAGAATGAAGGGCTGAGTTCTATCCCAGAACCCACTAATAAACAAACATAAAAAGCTACCTGTGGTGCTGTATACTTGTACTCCTAGGACTGGAGAGGCAGGGTCAGGTAGCTGGCCAGCCAGGCTAGCCTACTTTGCAGCTCTAGGCCAGGGAGAGATTCTGTCCCCCCAAAAATAGAAACATAAAAAGGTTACTTCCAAACTCACTAGCTAATCTTATTTTTAAGTAACATACTACATAAAAGTATTTAGTATGGTGTTCCCCCAGTACTAACTACTGACTCTCCCTGGGCATGCTGATGCATCCCTACCATCTCAGCATTTGTTAGTCTAAAGCAAAAGGATTTTTGTGGCTGCTGTACTACATAGCAAGTTCCTGACTAAAAAATAGTACAAAAAGTCAAGCTGAGTGGTGATGGCAGAGGTGGCTGCGGGCGCACACCTTTGATTCCTCAGGAGATAGAGGCAGACTGATCTCTCAGGTCAAGGCTAGCCTGGTCTACAGTGAGTTCCAGGACAGCCAGGCTACACAGAAAAACCCTGTCTCAAAAAAACAAAAAAAAAAAAGCAAAAAGTCCCCAGCCAGCCCAGCTGAGTCAGTGAGTTTTAGCTTCAACCAGACATCCCATTGCAAAAAAGAAAGGTGGAGAGTGACTGAGGAAGGACACTTAGTGCTGACTGTGGTCCTTACAGGCATATGCCTGTGCATCTGTACACACACGCTCACAAAGAGCATTATTGTGACTAGGCATGTGTGTCACTCAGTGGTACACTCTGCTCAGTTTGTGCACTATTGGATTTAATCCCTGCCTCCAACCCTCAGATTATTATCTGGTGGCCACTAGAGTACAGAGCATTCCATCCTATTTTATTATTTTGGCAATATTTATATTTGCCTAAGTAAACGTGACAAAGAAATACTGATTGCTGATTTTGGTTTTAGGTCTTTAGGGATTAAGGTACATTAACAAGTTTGCATTGAGAAATAACATATTGTATATTAGAGATCGACTTCCCTTAAAGATTGAGGATCCCAAGAGCTTGATTTATGTATATACAGTCTATAGTTAGTACTATATTAATAATAAAAACTGAGGACTTTAAAATGCTAACTCATTTAAAACACCGATAAAAATCATTCTGTGTTACCAAACATAATAAAAATGCTTCCCTACGTTGTGATAAAGTGGCATTCTTTGTAGATTTATAACTTTCAGTCTCTGGGCTAGACTCGGGATGCTGCGCTGTGGTTAGCCTAGGGTCTTGTAAATGTCCAGTGTGCTTTTTACCAACTGTTGAACGAATATTCCCAGCCCTGCAGATTTATTTGACTGAAAACAACTGTTCTAATTCTCGTGTTTAACATATAGAAGAAAAATCTGGCATTACACAGGTTTGTAGTTGATAAAGGGTGTAATATTTTAGTAGCTTTTTGAGATAATTTGTTGCTGTCGTTCAATGCTATGCCAACCCTCAACAAATAGTAGCATTTTTAGTCATACTGCAGTGTATGAGATTGTAAACATTGTAAGCCTGTTTGTCTCTGCTACATTTTAAATTTTATTTTTGCAGTATTGGTAATTGAACTCACATCCTTGGCAAGTGCTCTATCACAGAGCTACACTCAGCCCTTTCTTATATTGCAAATAAATTTTCTCTATGCATGACTTCATGTGACTTGAAAAAACATTAGAGGATAGACCTCTGAATATTGACATATTTCATTTTATAATAGACTATAGGAAGCTTACAAGTGGTAGATACATTTTGCAAAAACTCAAATTTTAACATAAAACTCAGCCTTTTCATTGTCAAGAAGTACTGTGTTTCTGGAAGGGGTAAGCTTATTTCACTCAATTTCAAGATGATGTCTGTCAGCTACCTAAATCTGCACAGCTTTGGGATTCATTGTTTTCCTAATAAAAACAGCTGCCTCCTCTTGTAGCTCAGTCATGTGAGCCTGCTGCTCCCTTTCAACAGCATCTGTTGGCATGCACAAATGCTTTTGTGTGTAGTTATCATTTTGTGACATATTTAAAAGACATGTATACAAGAATTAGGCTTTGACAAAATGAGTAATTTTGCTGCTTCAAGATTTTATTATTTGTTTCTGAAATAGGGTTTTATAGTGCGAACCAGGCTGGGCCTTGCTCCTTGCTTTGTAGGCCTTTGATATTCTTTTTTTTTTTTGGCTTTCTGAGTATTTGGATTATAGGTATGTGCTTTAATTAGCCTGGCTAAGAAAGCTTCTCATTGCAAGTGGCTCCTTCCCCTTCCCTTTGTGTGCTGTGAAGAACACTGAATAGTAGTACAGCTCAGAAGTCTTACAGTCTTGCTTGACTCCTGTTTAAGTTCCAGCAGTATCTGCCTCCTATTGCTTTGACATAGTTGATGCAAATGTCAGTCAGTGTGGCACATCATTATGTAGATGCTTTTGGCTTCACCAGTTCTCTGAGAGAGGGATACTTAAGTTTCTGCCCTTCATAGAGAGAATTAATAATACCAGCGTGCTGTGGCACAGGCCTGTAATCCCAGCACTCGGGAGACACAGGCAGGCGGATCTCATGGTCTACAAAGCGAGTCAAGGACAGCCAAGGCTACCTGTCTCAAAAAAAAAAAAAAAAAAAAGAGAGAGAATTAATGCTATAGTATAGAGGATATAGGATGTTTGATTGTTAAAATAAACCAATAAAAAATAACCCCCACACACAATAACATCAACAATCCACCTCATTTAATTCTCCAGGCAAGGTTGAACTACAACCCTTTTGTGCTTTTTATACTATGATTCTTAAATAATTGTAATCTTGTCTTTGAAATAGAAAAATTATGCGAGTTTCCAGTAAGTTAAAATAGAGTGCATGCTTCGATTTATATTGTGTGCTTCTGTCTTTAAGAAGCATGCAATTTCATATTTGTGGGCCCAAAGTAAAGAGCTCATTCTGTTACAGACAATGAGACTCTGTTTCTGACATCTCGTAGTCAGCTCTGTTTTAGAACAGTGTTGGGTCCTGTTGGCTCAGTTTGCAGTTGTCCCAGTCCTAACCCTGTCTCAGCAAAGGCTGTTGTTGGAAAGTCCTCACAAAGGCCTTGTGTACAGGAGTGTTCTTGTCCTACTGAGTTAGATATGCTTTTGTATACATGCCTTTCCCAAATGCCTCCCATATATCCATTGCTTATTTCAGTATGAGATCATTTTATTGGGAAGATGGTGTCTTATAATTGTTACAGAGGGCCTTAGCAGAACTAAATGTTTCTTTCTCTGTGGTAGGATGTGATGGAGCTGCTTGAAGAAGATCTCACATGCCCAATTTGTTGCAGTTTGTTTGATGATCCCCGAGTTTTGCCCTGCTCACACAACTTCTGCAAAAAATGCTTAGAAGGGCTCTTAGAGGGGAATGTGAGGAATTCATTGTGGAGACCATCTCCATTCAAGTGTCCTACCTGCCGTAAGGAAACATCAGCTACTGGAGTCAATAGTCTGCAAGTTAATTACTCACTGAAGGGAATTGTGGAGAAATACAACAAAATCAAGATCTCTCCCAAAATGCCAGTATGCAAAAGCCACTTGGGGCAGCCCCTCAACATCTTCTGTGTAACTGACATGAGGCTGATCTGTGGGGTCTGCGCTACTCGTGGTGAGCACACAAAGCACGCCTTCTCCTCTGTTGAAGATGCCTACACCCAGGAGAGGGTGGCCTTTGAGGCCCTCTTTCAGAGTTTTGAGACCTGGCGCCGGGGAGACGCTCTTTCCCGCCTGGACACTTTGGAAACTAACAAGAGGAAATCCTTACAGTTACTCACTAAAGATTCAGATAAAGTAAAGGAGTTTTTTGAGAAGTTACAACACACATTGGATCAAAAGAAGAATGAAATCCTGTCTGACTTTGAAACTATGAAGCTTGCAGTTATGCAAGCCTACGATCCAGAGATCAACAAACTCAATACCATTTTACAAGAGCAACGGATGGCCTTTAACATTGCTGAGGCTTTCAAAGATGTGTCAGAACCTATTATATTTTTGCAACAGATGCAGGAGTTCAGGGAGAAACTCAAAGTAATCAAGGAAACTCCTTTGCCACCCTCTAATTTGCCCACTAGCCCTCTAATGAAGAACTTTGATACGAGTCAGTGGGAGGACATTAAACTAGTTGATGTGGACAAGCTCTCTTTGCCTCAAGACACAGGCGTGTTCACTGGCAAGATTGCCTGGCGCCCCTATCTGTTGCTCATGGTGGTAGTTCTGCTGGGTCTCCTCGTATTCTTTGGACCCACTGTGTTCCTGGAATGGTCTCCACTTGATGAGTTGGCAGCTTGGAAAGACTGTCTTTCAAGTGTCAGTTCTTACCTGACTAAATCAGCTGATTTTGTAGAACAGTCTGTTTTTTACTGGGAACAAATGACAGATGGGTTTTTCATTTTCAGTGAAGGCGTCAAAAATGTTAGTTTGGTGGCACTGAACAATGTAGCAGAATTTGTATGCAAATATAAACTGTTATAAAGTCTTTCAATTATACAGTTCTTTTCTTGATGGGGTTCTTAGAGAACACAGGAATACTTCAGATTTGGTCAAGATTCCAGTCCTTTGTTTCTTTTAAAAGTATTTCTTTAATAATGTTATATGTTATTCAAATGTCAGCATAAAGATAAAAGTGAAGTTTAGTAGTTCCAATCTTTTTTTTGTTTTGTTTTGTTTTGTTTTGTTTTGTTTTGTTGTTTTTCGAGACAGTGTTTCTTTGAGGAGCCTTGGCTGTCCTGGACTCACTTCGTAGACCAGACTGGCCAGGAACTTACAGAGATCTGCTTGCTTCTGCCTCCTTGAGTTCTGGGATTACAGGTGTGCACCACTGCACCTGGCCCTTCCCTTTCTTAAAGATGGATTTAAATAAATAATCTTCCTCTAGTATTGGCTGAGTTTGTGCTGTGATAAGTAGCACATGTGTGTATCTGTATCTCATTGGCAATCTCTTGAGCCTGGAACCTTGAGACCAGCCAGGACAAGAAGCAAGCAAGCAAGAGAGGGAGGTGAATGCACACATGAGTTAACACCGCATCTGTGATGTAGAACATACATGAGTTAACACTGCATCTCTGACACAGGGAATATAGTGCTTTGCCATCAAGCATACTATGAAAGGAATAAAAAATTGAACATATTGGATTCCCAGCCTTGTTTTAGAGGAATGATAACCTTTCTTATGACAGTATAAATCGTATAATTTTGGAAACTATATCTCTTTCCCTCCTGTTCTTTTTGACAAGTATGACTGGTACTCCTACTTTGAGCCTCCGAAGTATTAGAATCACAGTGAACTTTGTTCTTGTGAATTTTTCACTAAAGGTGATAAAACTGTTAAGTGACTGTGCATATGGGAAAGGCAGGAATTGGGAAAGCCATCTTTTAACTGGTACCTAATGTGGTTGTGTTCTAAAGTACCACAGCAACTGTATAACAAACCCTGTTCACTTGCCTACAGAGTTTCAGATATAGTAAGAATAGTCTGCCAGTAGAAGAGACAGTTAACACACATAAAGCCATCAAGTGAAGCGTAGTGCTGTCTTCTCTCCTCATAAGAGAGACCGATGCCCACAGGACATAAGTACTTAATTTTCTCACACTGCTCAGAATTCAAATGAAAACAAACAAAAAACACTCCTTAAAATTGCATTTTGTTGGGCTTATTTCTGTCATGGAAAAATAGGCTCTTGAAACCCCAGAGTGAAGTGGATTAGAGAGCTGTGTCTTTACCTCATAGAGCTGTGTCTTTACCTCATCCTTTGATTTGGTTGAGAAAACCTAAAGTGATCAGGGATGAGAAAAGCTGGCACAGAAAAGTGTCTTCCTTAGCTACCAGGTATAAGACAGTCAGCTAAGCTGAAAGTGAGGTGTAGGCTGCTCATTCTCAACATAATTCACGATCTACCTATTTATTACTAAGGGGGTTCCAAAACCAGATAGTGTTTTCTATAAATCTTACGTTGGCCACAAGGGCTTGGTAAATGCCTGTAGAGAGAGTACTTTTCTGCTTCTGGTGACTTTGAAATACAGATTTATGTTAGGGTTTCATGGCGGATGATTTCTTTAGTGCTGGAGCCAGAGCTCAAGGCCTCACACATGTTAGGCAAGTACTCTACCCTACCCCTGAACTACACTCCAGTTGCAAAAGGTTTCTTTCTTCTTTTTTTTTTCTTTTTTCTTCTTTTTAGTGGGTTACAGGAAAGGGATCTATTTGAAATCATGAGATATATTGACATTGTTTCACTTGTGTTTTCCATTTTATATACTGCAAGTTCCCAAGCAATGCACATTTGCAAACACAGCTATGAATACATTATTTGTTTTGACAATAGTTACCTTGGAATTTAGGTCTAGTTTTCTACCTCCACTTCCGTGTTTCTTAATCATAACATTTAAGGTAGCAGGTTGAGTTAGAGGGTTTTTATACATCTGTATTAATGGTTTGTAGCCACTAATGTGAAGCTAGGAAGAATGAGTAGTGGGGATTTGGTCACTTTGAACGTGGGAGGGAAGGTATTCACAACAAGGCGCTCTACCCTCAAGCAGTTCCCTGCCTCTCGGTTGGCAGGCATGGTAGATGGCAGAGACCAGGAGTTCAAGATAGTTGATGGTCAGGTTTTTGTGGATAGAGATGGTGCTTTATTTAGTTTCATTTTAGACTTTTTAAGAAATTGTGAGCTTTTATTACCCTCTGATTTTTCAGACTATCATAGGCTTCAGAGAGAGGCTCTTTTCTATGGACTTGATTCTCTTGCTGATCTCTTAAGCCAACACCTGCTACAATTAAGACCCACTCTCATGGAGGTGCACTTCCTAAACCGAAATACTCAAGCCTTCTTCAGAGTGTTTGGCTCTTGCAGCAAAACAATGGAGATGCTAACTAGGAGGATTACTGTGTTTGTAGAGCAGCCTCCAGCACTGGCCAAGAACAGTAACTCCTTCCCTCCTCAGGTGGCTTTACTTTCACTGCCTCCACAAAGACCTTCTCACCATGACCTGCTCTTCTACTGTGGCTCTGATGGCACTACTGAGAACCGTGCTGGAATCAGGTATTTTGAATGCTGAAGTCTCTCTTCTAGTCTAGTTTTCTGCTGTTTTTCTCTCAAAACTTAAAAGGTTTTTATGCCTAAAATTCTTGGCAAAAAGAAAAGAAAAAGTGTATTTAGAACAACCTTTTTTTCCACAAAACAAGTAGTTGTTTTCTAAACTTGGGCACTTTCAGACTAGGAAGTCATTGTGGTAATAAACCAAGACTCCCCAGGGAAAATAGAAACCAAGGTCTGTGTAGTTACAAGAGGAACTGATTCCATAGATTATATTCCATTGCTAATGAATGATTTAGAATGAGCCAGCTTATGTTTGGCTTGCACATAGGAGAGGTTCAGTGGAATGACCTGATTTCCTCATACACTATGCATTTGTTTTTTCAGAATTTAAATTTGCTGCTTTTCTTTAATAGAGAATATTTTTTAAACTAGTTTCAGGCAGATATATCTCATGGTAAATTTAGTGTCCTGTAATAGACTTGCCTCTGTCACTTTTCAAAATATTGGAATAGGCAGTCAGGATTTGAAGGATGACTGCCTTTTTGTTTTATTTTATTTGAGCCAGGATCACATTATGTAGCTTTGGCTGGCCTGGAACTTTCACTGTCTCTGCCCCCCAGTGCTGGGATTAAAGGCAAGCACCATCATATCTGCCTCCCCTGGGATCTAAGCTGATTTCTGTTCTGTAGTCAGGGACACACTACCTCATCCCCTGTTAAAAATGTCTTAATGCTGTGTACCATTACTACCAACTGTGAAAGCTGGTTTTAACTTTTAGGAGGAAAAAGAAAGCTTTCATGTGTTCTTTACTTGCAACATTTAAAAGCAAATCACCTTTGGGAGATAGACATATTTTAGAGGACTCAGCCTGTACAGTAGATATCAGGAAGGATTCCCACGATTATTTCTCCCACAGCACATCCCATAGTGGAGGACAATCTGCAGTATAATCAAGTGTGACAATAAATCTATACACTTTCTTATTTCTTATTTGGCCTTCCAAATACATTGAAATGTCATTTTGTAAATAGGTATCAATCAAATAGACCGTGAAGAACATCTAAGGTCCTATTGTTGTCAAACTGTTTTAAACTCTGCTTTTTATTTTCACTGGGGAGTAAGTACTTAGTAGAAAAATAATGCAATGTTTTTGTTGTTTTAAATTTCAATAAGATGACAATGACCATTTTTGGCATCCCTTTTCAGAAAGTTAGAAACCTAAGAAAAAATAGCATCCTTGATTTTAGGAGGACACATGATAGGTGAAAAGATGTCTTGGAAATACTAAATGTTCTTTCAAAGTTTAGAATTTGGAGGAACGAATTATCTTAAAAAACAAGGTTAAAACTTGAAATCAAATCACTGTGTGCACTCTACCAAGTGACCCCCCCTTTTGTTACATGTTTCAGAAACAGCACAGAGTGGTTTTTTCAACTCAATCTGAGAAAGGCATATTAAATTTTCATAACAGAATTTTTTAAAGATTTATTCATTCATTTATTCATTTATTTATTTATTATGTACAGTATTCTGCCTTGCATATATGCTTTTTCACCAGGTCTCATTATAGATGGTTATGAGCCACCATGCGGTTGCTGGGAATTGAACTCAAGACCTTTGGAAGAACAGCTGGTGCTCTTAACCGCTGAGCCATCTTTCCAGCCCCATAACAGAAAATTCTAAGACCAGAGCTACTTTTTTAAAAAATATTTATTTATTTATTTATTTATTTATTTATTTATTTATTTATTTATTTATTTATTTATTATGTATACAATGTATGCCTGCAAGCCAGAAGAGGACACCAGACCTCACTATAGATGGTTGTGAGCCACCATGTGGTTGCTGGGAATTGAACCCAGGACCTCTGGAAGAGCAACCAATGCTCTTAATCTCCGAGCCATCTCTCCAACCTCAGAGCTATTTCTTTAGTTAGTGTTTTGTTTGTTTGTTTTGTTCTGAGATAGGATCTTATATCCCTGGCTAGCCAGGAAAGTCTGAGCCTCTTGCACCCACCTTGTGAGAGCTAAGCTTATAGGCATGTTATCTCACCTAGCTACCATGTGGCAGTATCCCTATTTGTTTTAAGTTTGGAATTTCTTCTGTTTTATTCTAAAAGTACTACTTTTAGAATAGAGATATATTTTAAAGTGACATGAATATAACTGGTGGTTGGGTGAAAATTCTGGCCATTTCTACTTTTGAGTATATACCTGATTTGGCAGTTATTTATGTTTTTGCTAGTCTTCGCTTTGAATCTCTACATTCAGATGTTTTTGGATGGTGGATATGGTAGAATAAGTCTGGCTGGCTTCAAAAGTTCTTCATTGTGTTCTTAGCATTCTAAGTTGTTTGGTTATTCTCTCCGAGGTTCTTGGCTTTTATCTTTAGATGTCTACTCATGTGACAACACACTTTGGTTCAAATTGTGGTCTCGGGATTCTAGAGTCTCTGTTGTAGCCATTTTCTGATGTCTCCATTTTAGATTAAACTACATGAAAAAGTATAGTTTCCCTTAAATTTTTAAAAATAAGGTGTGGTAATGGAGCTCAGTGGAAGAGTCCTTACCTGGCATGTACTTGGGAGGCCCTGGGTTCTACCTCCAACACTAGAAAGAAGTTCAGGTTCTTGTTCTCTTTAGTTCATCCTCTTGTGTCTTGAAATCCTTTCCAATTTGGCCTCAGAAGGAATCAAAAACAATAGTTTTGGTTCAATAATTTTTTAAAAGATTTATTTATTATTTATACAGTATTCTGCCTGCATGTGTACCTGCACACCAGAAGAGGTCCCCAGATCTTATTAGAGATGGTTGTGAACCACCACATGATTACCAGGAATTGAACTCAGGACCTTTGGAAGAACAGCCTTAACCTCTGAGCCATCTCTCCCGCCTCTTGGTTCAATAATTTATTGCAAGAACATTATACTTAAAAAAAAAACAAAACAAAACAAAAAAAACAACCTACTGCTTGCTATTTGTAATCATAATACTTTTATGATACTCTGTAACTTCTGGCAAATGTTTCTAGCTGAATAATTTACTTTGGGGTAGATGAAATCCTTTACTACTGTTAAAAATTTGTATCCAACAAAATAAATGTTTTTTTGACATGTGCTTTGTAGCTTGATGAAGTTTAGCTGTTAACTATTGTTTCCTTTGCTGGCGTAGAGTTCATGAACATGACCTCAAGTGATCACAATTTCAGCCATGACCTCAGTTAATAACTAGGGATGTGCTCAAAAACTGTTTTACCTTCGTGAAACTATACATAGCTTTGGTGTCTGCTGACACTAACTGAAGCTTTTTTTTATCCTTGATGACAGACATTCTCTGTGCTGTACTGCCATTATTAAAACAAGCATGGGTATATATGCTAGTTGTGTGGAATCCTTACTGGGTAAAAGACTTTTCTGTTGTTGTTTCTGTTTGTTTGTTTTTTGGAGGCAGGGTTTCTCTGTGTGTAGCCTTGGTGTGAATAAGTTTCTAGGTGTAGTTTTGTTTGTTTTTAAAGGAATTCTTTGTAATTGTACACTTTTTTTTTTATGCCTCAGGTACATTTCCATAAAACCTGATAACCGAAAATTGGCCAATGGAACTAATGTCTTGGGCTTACTGGTCGACACTTTATTAAAGGAAGGTTTTCATCTGGTCAGCACTAGAACATCAGCGTCTGGAGACAAAAGTGAATGCTATGTCTTTGAAAGGATAAAAAGCCCTCAAGTCCTTGGGGTGAATAAAACACCCAAACCAGAAACTACCACCATGCCAGCGCCATCTGAGAAGTGACACTGTTCTTATTTGGATATTCCGTACTGGGGCTTGTATGTCAGATTTGTACTCAGTCTAACCTTGGGTCTTCTTCCCTACCTGTTTTCTTGCCTCTGGGCAACAAGGCTCCAGCAGTGCTTAACACCATACCACCTGGTCTCTCAAAACAGTGCTGTACTTTGGGCTTTGGCATTTGCTCCTTCACTGCCTTTCACCATGTACTCTCATAGCTTTTAAACATGTGCTCTGGACTTGAACTGTATCTAATCCTAGTTTAGTCATTTATTAGCTATGTAACTTAATGCATTTAACATTTCTGTGTTTCAACTTTATTAACTAGGGACAAAAAAAGTATCTCCCTCTGAGGTTATGAGGGTGGTAAAGTAGACAAAGTCCTCATTATGTTGCCTGGCATGTGGCAGGCACTGTTACAGTTACAGTTGAGATGTTTAGTCTATTATCATCATGGTGGGATGCATAGCAGTGTGTAGGCAGACATGGTGCTGAAGAAGAAACTGAGAGTTCTACATCTTGATCCAAAGGCAACCGAAGGGGATTGTGTGTCACACTGAGCATAGGAGACCTCAAAGCCTGTGCCCAATAATACTTCCTCTAACAAGGCCACACCCCCTAATAGGGCTTACTCCCTATGGGCCAAGCATTCAGACACATGAGTCTATCGGAGCCATGTCTATTAAAACCACCACAGTCCAACCCTCATGCATACAAAGTATGTCCACAATGACTAACTTGTACCCCCAGCAGCTGATCTTTCTGTAATGACTTATATGTCATCACAAAACCAGGTTTTCCTCACTTAAACGTAAGTTCTTTGAAAAGTTTCTAGTGCACATGCCTTTAATCTCAGCACTTGCGAGGCAGAGGCAGGTCTGTGAGTTCCAGGCAAAAGTCCAGGACAACCAAAGCTACACAAAGAAACCCTGTCTCCAAAAACAAACAAACAAACAAACAAAAACACCAAAACCCCAAAAAGTCCAGGACAGCCAAAGCTACAGAGAAACCATGTCTCAATAAAACGAAAAAGAAAAAAAAGAAAAACAAAGTTTCTAATGCTATTATACATAAATATTGTGCTAAACTTATCATACAGTATATAAATTTGTTGAAAACTTTGGAATAACATTTAAAATACACATAACAACTTAGTAGTGTTAAATAGTAGTGTGTTATATTTCTGTTATTTTCAATTTAGGATAAACAGCTACAGGAGAAAGCACTTTATCAAAAGGCCCCTAGTGTTTGCTTATAGTTGAGTGAAAAGCTGCTGTGTGGAAGCACTTCAAGTATGCAAGTCATTCGAGAACATATTTTAAATATTTCTCTTCGTTACTATGGCTGTGATGAAATACGTGACCAAAAGCAAGTTGGGGAGGAAAGGGTTTATTTGGTTTATACTTCTGTGGGGGTCCCTGCAAACACCAGAGCGGGTAAGTAGCCATCCTTGTGAGGCAAGAAGGAAATCCAGTTCAACACTATTTAGTTACCTGTGTTGGTTCAAACTTGAGTCTGACACAGGGCAGTTTATTTTGATCATATTTAAGTACAGTACAACAGTAGAAAAAAGCTTCCTGATAACAATTGTCACAACAAAGCTTAAGGTTGACAATACTAAAACTCTTTTGCAGAGAACATATGGCTTCTTCCTAAGAATGGGTTCTATAGCTTACGAACATAGGAGAGCATGTGGTGTGCTCTAGGTCATCATAGATGTCACCAAGCTACAAAGTACATGTGACATCTCCCTTAGGGATGGGTTCTACTGACTGAGAAACAATGCTAAAGATAAAGGACTAGTGAGGAAGTCTGGGATAAACATAACAGTCTGGGGGATTCACCAGGGTATTAACTACATCCACTCCCAGCATTCTGGGTGGAAAACAGGTATACATCTTCTCACTGAGGAGATAACACTGAGTGTTTAGCATCTTTGGTTTCCCTAGTGCTTATCTGTGAGCACAAGGACCCTTTACACACTTCCACCTTGTAGTTATTAAAGGAAGTCAGGACAGGAACTCAAAGAGGGCAGAAACATAGAGGCAGCAGCTGAAGCAGGGGCCATGCAGAAGTGCTATTTACTGGCTTGCTCATCCTTTCTTAGAGAACCCAGGACCACTGGTCCAGAAGTGGCATCACCTACAGTGGAATGGGCCCTCCATGATGAATCACTAATTAAGAAAATTCCCTGCAGGCTTGCTGACAGCCTGATCTTATGGAAGGATTTTTTCAACTGAGGTTCCTTCCTTTCAGATGACTCTAACCTGTGTCAAACTGACATAAAACTAGCCAGTGCATTATATAAAATTCTAAGTATTAAACACGGAGTAGGCCAGAAATCTTTATTCCTAAGTAGCATAAATTCAAATAAATGCATCACCACAACAGAAAAAAAAAAGTTCAAAGTTCATCAATATGGAATGAGCAATAGAATGAAGTATACAGGTCCTTGAAAAGTGTGAAGCAGGTAAAGGTGTTTGCTGCTAAGTCTGGTGACTCAAGTTTGATCCTGAGAACCTATCTGGTAGGAAAAACTGACTCCTGAAGGTTGTCCTTTGACTTGTACATGTTGTGCACACACACACATGTGCACACACATACACAGCAAATTGCCAAGACTGTAAAAAAAAAAAAAAAAAAAAACCACGAAGCAGAACTGGCTATAGTGGCACATGCTTTTAATCCTAGCATCCAGGAAGCAGAAGGCCAGCCTTGGCTACACAGCTATTTCCAAAGTCTAGCCAAGGCTATATATGGATATACTATCTCAAACAAAACAAAACAAATATGTAGCAGTTTATAAGCTTTTGAGGAAGAGATATCAAAATATAAGTGGAAAGAAATCCTTAGGATACAGGCTTGGTGTAGAGGTATATGCATTTAATCATAGTTCTCAGGAGGCAGAAGCAGGTGGATCTCTGTGAGTTCCAAGCAAGCCTAGTCTACATAGTGAGACCTTATCTCCAAACAAAAATTCTATGCTAAATATATGTAAAGGGTTTCCATTTATAGAAAAAATGTCTACACACATTTTCAGTAAAAACACAAGTCACTTGTGGAGGGGAAATTGAGTAAATGGAATTTAGGTATGGAAGAAAGACTTTCACTAGACCATGTAGGTATATGGCTATTAAAACTATACATTCATCAGTACCTCTCAGCTATAAACCCTGAAAACTGCAATAGTGACTGTCCTGTATGATATACTGCTGAAATAGTGACACACATGTTAAAATAACCAGCCACTCTCTGGTTGTATTTAAGGCCCACTTCATCAGATGGAACCCATACCTGACAGTGCTAATGCGGCCAAGAATCTGAGACTAGAGGAAAACCTCATAATATTGTTCTGCAAAAAGAACATAGCAGTAGAATGACTCCTAATGACATTTGGATGTAGCCATAGATCAGTGCCTCACTCAGCCCTCATCAGAAAAGCTTCTCGCAATAGTGTGGAGTGAGGGACTTTAGAGCACTCTGTCCTAAATGGGATATTTTCATCAAAGCCCTCCCTCCACAAGGCTCAGGCATTGGCGCAGAAGAGACAGTGGAAAGACTGTAAGAACCAGAGGCCATGGATGACTCCAAGGAGACAGTGTCTTCCAGACACAACAGAACTCATACATCTGTACTCTCACAGATTGTGGCAGCTTGAGAAAGGCCTACATAGGTTCAAGGCAGATGAGGTCCTAGTACCGAGGGGAAAGTAGACAGAGGCTCCCACCTCTAACCAAGAAGCTATCTGCAATTGACACCATCGACAAAGGAAAACTCACTTTTCTTCAATGGGAGTTTTACTGGGTAATAAGCAGTATTGGGAGATGGACAACACAAAATGAACTCAGTGGTATTTTTATCAACTTTTTCTCATAATCTTTGTTTGATCATTTTTTACTTTATTGGGTTTTTGCTTGCTAATTTTGATTTTTGTTTTGTGGGGATTTTTGCGTGTGTTTCTTGTTTTTTGTTTGTTTTAAAGAGAGAAAGAACATAAAGTTGGGTGGGCAGAGTGGATAGGGATGTGGGGAGCATCTGGGAAGATCCTTGAACTGTGTTTTCTGGGCTACAGATAACAAGAAAAAAAATCATACACACACCAAAAATAAAAATTGAGCTGTGGCCCTGAGTGGGCCCCAAGGTCACATCTTGCTCGGTACTGTGGTCCTCAACACTAGCCTGCACAATCTTCCATGGCCTTCCCGCTGCCCACACTGTGGGCCTCTGCTCCCACTCCACTGTGCAAGTTGAGTGGATTGCAGTCATTACGTTTGTTGCCTGGACAGCAGCACTTGGTTACCTGGCTTATAAAAAGTTCTACATTAAAGATCATCATACCAAAGCTGTGGTGAACCTTCAGATCCAGAAAGACAACTTAAAGTGGTGCATGCCTTCAAAATGGAGGTTGTAGAAGAAAAGGCCTTTATTGATGTTACTGGAGGTCCGAAAAGTTCCCTGTGTTGGGACTCAAAACACAATGAAGAGACTGGAGACAACATGGGACCTCTGATCATCAAGAAAAAAATAAACTTAACTGACAGTTTTGATGCTGCACTCCAGCATTTTGTGATATTGCTTGATTAATTAATTAAAGGCATGCCCAGTCAGAAATCTGTCTTATCCAATGATTTAGTCAAGGTTTCTATTGCTGCAAGAAAACACCATGACCAAAAACCCAGCTGGGGAAGAAAGGATTTATTCATCTTATACTTCCACATTGCTCTTGAGCACTAAAGTAGGTCAGGACAGGAACTCAAGCAGGGCAAGGCAGGAACTGATGCAAAGGCCACAGAGGAATGTTGTTTACTGGCTTTCTCCTCATGGCTTGCTCAGCCTGCTATCTTATAGAACCCAGGACCACCAACCCAGGGATGGCACCCCTCACAATGTGCTGGGCCTTCCCCCATTGATAAAATGCCTTATAGCTAAATCTCAGGGAGGCAATTCCTCACCTGAGGCTCCTTCATTCTGATGACTCTAGCTTGTGCCAAGCTGACACACAACCAGCCAGTACATCCAGCAATACTGAAAACCTTGATCTAACAAATCCCAATACTATCATCCCATCTAACATACATCATCATAGTGCCATGTTAAGTTTGCTCAGTCCTAATGGCACCACCAATAGTTGGGTCTCTTGCATTTTCTCACTTGTTTTGTTTAAGTTTCTATCCATCACCCAGTTTTATTTCTAACCAGGCATGGAAGATTTTTAGTTTTCTGGCTCTTTTTGAACCAGACTTAAAACCAGACAAAGTACAAAAATTTCCTATAAGTTTGCTGAAAGGTGCTACTAGAACTTAATTTTACTAGAGTTAAACACACTATAGAGTCCTTATATTATGATAAAACAGGAGCTAATTTGAGCAACCTTTAAAGTACATATGAAACCAAGAATCTAAAGCAGTAGCAGACTGTTTAGGACAATTTGGTAAATACAGAGTTTGCTCATTTCTGACTTCTATATCACTTGCATCTGACAAACTTTATCTTTGCTTTGTGTTTATGCCGATTCCCATACCAGAAACAGTTACATCATTAGAGGTATCTATCACTAGAGATTTTACTAGAGCTAAGGAAAAAAAATATATTTGCCAAGAGCAAATTTTAATAATGTAGAAATGTGGGTTAGAGCTTTGTTTTTAACCATTCATGTTTATTTTTTAAAAGATTTGTGCTTTACTTTCAGTATACGAGTGTTTTGCTTGCATGTATGTCTGTGCACCACGTACATTCCTGATGCCCAGATTTCAGAAGAGGAAATCAGAACCCCTGGACCTGATAGTAGTCAACTACCATGTGGGTGCCAGGAATTGAACCTAGGTCCTCTGTTAAGAGAAACACATGCTTCTAACCACTGAGCTCTGCAGTCACAAAGATCTAGGATCCTGATTTGGATAATTGAGATAATTTGGATAATTAAAAAAACAAAACAAAACAAAACTTGGGGTTTTTTGTTTGTTTGTTTTTTGATGGGGAAACATACTTACGAATTTAAGAATGGGTCTATTATTTAAATCTATTTGCCATCATCTTCTAGAATTTCTTGCTAAGTCTCCTTTGAAATGCCAGTTGTAGTCTTAGACAACTTATCTTCATGGTTTTCAAATGTTTATATATTTGGTTTTTTGAGAG